ACTTTAGAAATTAATGACCTTGAAGAGTTGTTGTATAGTTCTTTTTATACAGATAAGTACATAAAATTAAAACTGCCCATTGTGACCTTTAAAGGGATTGTATACATGTATACAGTATATACATTATGTAGCAAACATTGTATTCTATTGAGAAAGTACTTTTACTGAGACTGGTTATGCTTATCCTTACATTACATGTATACATGCTTAAAATCAAGGACGTTCATTGATGCTAAAAGTAAAAACATCCACTCAATTTATACATGTAGAGAAAACTTTTTACTGTTATTCAACAGCAATAATAGTGTCTATATAGTTGTTGTTATTTTTACGTTTGTACACAGCATTTAATTGATTACTGTATGAAACATTATATATATAACTATACTGGCCATAGTCTATTTAACTGCTGGATAATGCAAACTCCACTTTTTGAAGCAAAAGCAAGTTGCAAACATTACCCACTCGGCAGTGTTGATGGCGGTTTATCTTTTATAATTCAGATTTTCGTCTACGGTCACTATCTTCAATACTAATAACACTATCACATCAAAACTTAATATGAGTATGCAATTTGATGAGTTCTACCGTCACACCCATTTTCAGGTCAAAAGGTCACACATTAAGGTCTATGGTACCCCTATTAGTGAAAGTCATAATTCAGGTCATTAAATCAAAGTGCAGTTGACTATCCAACACTGAGAAAACTGAGGAGTGTTACTTCTCATGTAGTTCTTGTTTATATTTTGACGCAACACCCTTGTTGATGAGAACTTTAATCTTACGTAAAAGTATTACCTTGACCTTCAACATAACATTTTTAGAATATTAACAAAACAACTCACTGTAACTTTGTTATTATTAGATTTTTTAGTGTTTACAAACATCTTTCTATACTTATTTTCATTGTATTTGTGATATATTATGGGGACTGTATGTCAAGATAAATACTGTCCATGACAGGACAGAGCGGATATTTGTGATAAAGCTTTTTATTTATTTTTTCTTGAAAAGTAACAAATTGAATCAGATTTATTCACATTATTTGAAGATATGTATGTAAAGCATAGCTATTTATTATTATTGTTTAAGTCTTTAGTTGTTATTGGTCTATTATGTTTTATTCAATTTACATTTTAAGTGTTTTCTTTTCATATTTTCTTATATACTGTGTATCATGAATAATTCATAACATTTTGAAATTTACAAATAACCAACTCATTGTTTCTTTATAAGGCAATGAAAATGATCCTATATATGATTTTTTATATTAGTGATGAAGAGATAGGATTATATGTTAATATTTGATAAATATTTAGTTGAACAGTGTGATGGTTGGAATTTTTGAAATTTTTATAAAGTTAATTAGTAATTTTCTTAGCCATTGTTTCGATATTCATGTTTATATATATTTTCATACTTTTGTTAGATATATTAATGAGCTGGTCTCTGTATTTGTAATAAAAATAACTCCAATAAACTTTGAATTGTCGTTTTTTACCAAAGAATATGAATCATTTATCAATGGTGTTTGATTAGAAAACTGACTGAATGATTTGCTCCTCGGTACTGTACTAATAAATTATGTTTGAATTTTCAATGAATTATTCCCCTTCATAAACTTTTAAAGCATTGCCTATATGACAGTTATAAGAATTGCACTCTCTTTTCCATCTTTCGCATGTCATTGTGTCGACCACAGTTGCTTCTATTCACCTCTGAAACCACTGGGCAAGATTTGTTGCAACTTGCCTGACAAATGTCTTGTATTGTCATCTGCCAAAGCTATTCAAATTTATTCAAAAGCACAACTAGATCACAACAAAAGCTGAAATAAAATACATTTTTTCCTAAAAATGCAGGGCCTACAGCTTAAGAGTTTGGCATGTAAGGTCATTTAGTGGTCCTCTACAATTCAATGCACTGAGGAATTGGCATAGCAACTGGGTCAATATATTTTCATAGAATTTTTGTCAGAAGCAAAAAGGTCATAGCGGCAACGTTTTTTAATTATAGAATTGCCTGTTGATTTTTTTTTCCAAGAAATCCTTGTTTTTTTTCTCAGTAATGTTCAGAATTACCATCTCCTTGGCTTATTCTATTGTCTGCACCGCATTGTCTAAGTTTTTGATATTTGGTAATAATGGTTCTCTAGCAAGGATGTACAAATCATGGACACACGGTCAGACCAATGCATCGACAACCGTGATACTATATATAGCCGGTAGAAATGGCCTGTGATGTTATTGAATCATGTTCTAAATAGTGCGAGAATTCTTTTTTTGCTAAAAATAAAATTTATGTTTCAAAGTATGCAAAACATATTACAATTTACGGATGGTGTTTACCTACTAAAGCTTCAATTTAAAGGATTAGTGATTGAAAATAACCCAAAAATGGAAAAATAATCAATAGAACAAGGTATTTGTAAAAAAAGTCACGGAAAACACGTTTTTTTTTGTTTAAGTTTTAGCCTATACTCCATTCACTGTCGTTTTGTCTTTCATTTGTCCAAAATATTGCTAAAGTACACAACCAGCGACAGACCAGCGATTAACTATATTAATATTTATTTTTTAATTCAGTCAAAGTAAAGGCCTTTTAAAGTCTCCATACTTCCTGCAATATCGACCAATGCTTTATTTATTATAGTTTCCATTGACTGTAAAATATAGCAGAAACAAACAAACACAATACTATTCTTTCGAATGGAAAATTACTTTTTCTGAGCCGTTTCTTTTTCAATAACAGTATTGGTCAGTTGCTTGTGGATTATATTTAAAGTCCAGCTAGGTTTACATGGTCACATGTCAACATTGGTCACGTTTTCAGGCGACTGATTAAACATAATATAACATTTCTGTAGCAGTATTAGTGTGACCTTGATCTAGATTAGATTAGGTTGTCCTGTGTTTATAAATGGCAACATTTTTAAAGAGCCATGGGATATTAGTTGACTGTCAGGTTAATAATGTTGTTTAATTCACTGTTGCTCTTCAAAAACTTGTCAAATGATTGCGAGCATGAAGAGTCAAAACATATTTAAAAGAAAACTCGATTATATTGCTAAGGTATTAAATAGACACATTTTGAATTTATTTATTAAGTGACAATCACAAGTGAAATGCTTAACGTTCAATCGTTTACTGAATGAATAGGTTCAATTTAAAATTTTAAAATAAGTTGAAATTAGATACATTTTTATAAGGATCTTACAGCGGCTGCTGGCACAGATCAGAATATCTAGCTGGGGGTAGAGGATGGGGTTGTTACGTAAGATTTGATATGCGGGTAATTACGTGTTCACAATAAAAATGGCATCATATTTTCTTTCCTTGTATTTATGATATACGCACTTAAGCGCAGTTTTGATGAACTCTCAGAATTCCTTTCCTAGACGACTAAACAATACTTATGTCGTTTTGAGAAACATGTAGACAGCGACCAGTTGAGATGCGGACACTGACAAACTACTAAAATGAATTTCAAACAATAAATTACGAAAATAAAGTTGCCGGTGACAAAATTGAAATTAAATACAAAGGCGGTTTTTTTTCTTGTACAACAATATCGGGACAGTGGGTTGCAAGCAAGTCCCAAGTTCGAGATTCTGCAACAGTGTGACACGAAATCGTGGAATCGCTAAAATCTCTTATTTCGGGCAACCCGAGCCTACCTATCACCAGTCCGCCGACATTTTATAGTGCCGATCATCAATTAAAAATATAGCGACATGTTCTAACAAACATGTTTTTTCTGGACATATCAAGCACACAGCTGCACATCAAATGTTAGCATTATATTTGCAAAACTGTTTTCGATACACATAATTATGATGTATACAACAGGTTTCCATAGTTATATGTTCAGAGGTGAAAATATAGGACATTAAACTTTTTTTCTCACCGAATTCAGTCTAAGTTTTAACTGCATTTATACGATATTTTTGTTGCTAATTTGGTAAAATGTTAAAGATTAAAAAATCCCCTTAACCTTCGAATAAATAAGAACACACATGTTTTAATAGCTTTAAATACATTTAAAGTTATCCACTCAGCGGATAGTTTTGTTCTTTAAAATGAACCTGATATGTTCTAAACTATGTTCTAAAATTTGTTCCGGATAGGTTACAGCAAATAATCAATGAATTCCCCAATAAACGAATTGAACATGCATAATTGCATGATAACCTTTTCTTAAGCCATTTTTTCGTGCATTTTCCATCCTATTGTTCTGCATCATCAACATCATCATCATCATCATCATAAGTAGCAGCATCATCATCATCATCACCATCATCATCATCCTAATCATCATCATTTTAATGATATCGCCATCGTCAAAATGTCTGTCATCATCAATAATGACATACGTCGTTTTTTGACATCATCATCATCATCATGAACATCATCATCAACAATATCATCATCAACAACAACATCATCATCATCATCATCATTATTATTATTATTATTATTATTATTATCTTTTCCATTATCATCATTATCGTCATCATTATCATTATAATCATTATGATTATCGTAGTCGTTTATTACTATTATTATTATTATTATTATTATTATCTTTTCCATTATCATCATTATCGTCATCATTATCATTATAATCATTATGATTATCGTAGTCGTCTTCTTTAACATCATTATCTTTTACATCATCATCATCACTACCACCACCGCCATCATAGTCATCATCATCATCATCATCATCATCACTACCACCAACGCCATCATAATCATCATCATCATCATTATCATCATCATCACCACCACCACCACCACCGATAATTAACATTATCAAGAATCTGCAAATGTTTCCGATACGGCCACATTGGTACAATGTATCGCGATGTCGGCTGCATGCAGCTTAGTTTATACAATGGAAAGTTTTTAGTGAAAAATTCGATCAATACAACACTAAAACATGTGACCAGTTCATACAGACACACCTCCGACACTCTCAGCCAATCAACGAGTTGAAATCTCGGAGGTGTGTCTATTTTGTATAGGAAGTATATAATCGCCTGCATGTATCGATTGCAGATCATTCATTGACAGGGAGACTCTGTAAAGCCTGGTATGTTAAGTTTATATTATTTATTTTTACAGTTATCTGCATATTTCTCATATGCGGTATTCGAACTATTTGCATCTGTTTAAGTAAACAGTAACAATAGTTTGCAGTTACATTTGAACAGCCTATGTGCTGCAATGTGTATTTTTTCATATTCTTGGATGTACTTGATGATTTTCTTTTAAGATGAGAATCTGCTTTTTGTAAAACATATATGAATGTAACAACTTTAACGTGGCCAGGAGATGCTTATCATTACCTGGTGCGATTAATTAAGACGATTTTCTTTTTAAATTAGAACATGGGGAAACCTGCTTCAAATACATATCTGATTTGAACACCTGCATTAAATTTTTGGACTGTGCCAATAAAAAATTGTTAAAGCAGGATCGCAGACTTGAAATGTTATAATAATACTTCAAATTTAAATGACGACTTTTCACTACTTAGATACAATATTGACTCGCCGATATGATATTTCTTTAGAGAATAATGTACAAACCATGAACCTGCATGTGTATTCAAAGATGTAACCTGTATGTGACCCTTGTTGTAAGGTCACTATAACCGTGTCAGCAATAAATTGTTATAGTTTCTATTATCCATACTTATAAATATATCGTTGAGAAATCATATAAACAGAAAGTATGGCAATTAACCAATGTCCCCGTGACGTCACCATTACCGTATCATATCAAATATCATTATCATCATCATCATCTTCTTCATCATCATCTTTATGGACATCATCGTCATTGTCATCATCATCATCGTCACAACAACAACAACAACATTTGCATCCTCTATCCTCTGGCAGCGCCGTCAGCATGTTCTACGGTTGTCAGAATGTAATTTTACTTGTAGGCTTTTACGACTCTTCACAAAATGTTTACAGAAAGTCTTGTAGACATTTTATAAACGGTGTTCATTAGTTGCTCCATGAGTTTGATAATTGTACTTAGCTGATGTACTATTTATATTTATATTGTATAACATACGTCTTATCGTTTCTTCAATGTCTTACTTGCAAACTATAATACACTTTCAGCATTTTCTTTTGCAATACCGTAATAAAATTACCTATAATATTTATATTTGAAATGTTGTTTTCAGTGCGTCGTCAGTTGTCTGACGTACCTACCCTGACAGCCATGTTGTTGAAAGTTTTAACCGGTAACCTAACGTTCCAGTCACTGATACCGCCGGATCTTACCTCGTGTACCCGGACGTAAGCATCAGTTTGTTGTTACTTTTTAAGATTATTTAATCTATCTCCAAGAAGAACATGGTCAATGCCTGTGTTTATTTAATGTCTATCGTCTAGGGAAAACGAAACAAAAATAATGAAATTGTAGAAATATAGACAAATTGATCTACACTTTATTCAATATGAAAACAAAATATTTAAAAAAACAACAACAAAGAAATGTCTATGTATGTATGTATGTATGTATGTATGCTATAGGCTTAATGACGGTCTATCCACCCTTTCAGCACTGAGAGTACGGACCCCGGACATGTGACCTTTCATGTCCTTAAATGTTATTATCAACCAAAAGGTGACCTTCAGTAATTCACTGAATGGTACTGAATATGTATGCAAGTCGATTTTTGTGATGATACTATTTTGATGCACGGGAGGACAATGAGACCATAATATGCATCATTGAGAAAAATAAATGGTCATATCTTTTGGATGTGCTTGACTGCATGCTGATACGATTTCTTTCTTTCTTTTGAGATCAGCTTCAGTTATTTACAAATGTGATTTGCAAGTTAGTTTTTAAAGCATACAATGTCGAGTCATGGAGTTAACTTATAAAATAATATTATTATGATGATGACTTAACATAATGATAAAATATGACAATGCCCAGGTTTAGCTTGCTTTAACATTTTTACAACATTTCAGAAGTACACGTAACACCAGTGCTCATTTGTAACGTCACATTCGACGTCATAAATGCCTTCATTTACAACGTTATGATATAAAGTATTGCTTGTAAATGAATTGTTTGATTTGACAACATATTAATTAAACTATTGAAAATTACAAGACAAACGCTGTAAGAAATAACTTTATACCAAATGTAAAATCAACTTGTGCCAAGCAATAAAAGAAAGCAACACAGAGAAAGAACATGTTAAAAAAACTTTACTTTTCAACAACATAATTCTTAACTTTATTGATTTTCAATACATGTACAGTTGATAAATGTAGATACTTTCTAAATGATAATTATTTTTATTTTAATTATTTGTATTGATCTTTTTAAATTTTGAAATGGGGAATATTCTTAGACATATCGCTAGAACTTTATAACGTTTAAAAATATATACTTACTTTGCAAATCAAAACCAACAGGTGTATTAAAGACAATTAATACACGTCAGAGATGAGCTGGTTGCTCTGATAAAACGATGTTCTTCGCGGGTCAAACTTCTAGGTGGCGGGGTCGGGGGTGGGGGGGGGGGGCATAATGCCGCGACATCTAAGTACTACTGTACTAAGCCTGTGTTGTTATGTGTTTACTTGAACAGTCTCTCTTTATTAGTACGATGTTCAGACGCCCGACATCTCACTTATATAAACATTCGCAACATGTTCATTCAACAGTTACCGATATTTTATATTACTTGAGTACTCGAGTACTCTCGCTTTGAGTAACCACATATTTGTAGGTGAGTTCACCCGAGTTCATATACATATGTTCTCTCATACATATAATTATATAACATCCAATGCTGATCGACATTGCTATATCTAGTTCACTATTATAATGTTTATCTGTGCAATTTTCTGTTATTTATTATCATTTTACTTCCATATTGGCACGTCTGATTGGAAACGAATAACTTTGTTATATATCTTAAAAGTGAATTTCCCTATACGCAGTTTACCAAAGTAAATGAATTTGGATAGTTTCTCTTTAAGTTGTTGTTGGAAGTTAGGACGTGAACTGTAGATTACGTTTTTTATGCTGTTTTTTTTCGTTTCAGACAATTGAAAGAGTACTTCATTAACAGCTATGATCTGAATGAAAGTATTTTCACAGCTCTAAATGGTAGGTAAACTTATATAAAATTATATAATAAAGAACATAACATAACTTGACTTTGACTTATCACACACAATAGTTAAATACATTTCTTAATGCAATACAATACATTTCAATACAATATGTCAATACAGCAGTTCTATATAAATACTTCAAATACAATATAACTGTTACGTCATCATTTTGTTACTTCAAAGCAGTCAAGAAGACATCACGTTGTTGAGAATAAACACAGTGAAATAGTTATACAAAAATCTGCCAGATTAAATCTACGCTTGTATTCTTTTTAAGACTGCAACAATTAATTGATGGATTAAACAACCTTTTTTGTGACTGAATGTTTCCTTTATGTATTTGCGAAGTCAAGTTGTATATTATTTACGAGTTCAATAAATTTTTACACGGAAAATCTTTTATAGAAGTATTTTTTATAAAATCTTGTTATAATTTCTTTGCAATATAGACATAGCAAGAGAAATGGAACTCGTCTTCAATATCACTATTGTTACAGCATTGTATATAATTACATGTATTGGAGTAACCAAGTTCTATATATGAATTCAGTTAGTTGTCTTATGGTGAATAAAAAGCTTTCTTAATACCGTCTCCAATCTCGCTTATATAGCGTCATTTCTATTTTCACTATGAAGAATTTTAATGAAAGTAGTAATGTCCTTTTACAGACGAGTCTGTGTTTTACAAGTGTCCTGATCGCCTGCGACTACCTCTGATATTCTACTATGCTCACACCGCCGTGGTCTATGTTAACAAGCTCATACTGGCTGGTCTCATTAAGGTTTGTTTATCTTATTTCATCCAACATATCCCTCATTATTTCATTCAATATGTCCCTCGTTTACTGCGGCTTGTTTTTCATATACATGCAAGCTCTCTAAGCTCACCTGAGATTGGTGATTCTACTTCGCGCTGGTGTCCGAAATGCCCGTTGTTTATTTAAGTAAAGCGCAGAGGCACTAAAGTTGTCTTCCTTGAGGCACTAAATTGGTCTTCTTTAACGGTTGAAGCACGACTTCTTATTTAAACACGACTTTTGTGAAAAGAAACTTTACAGTTTTATTAGTTTTTATCTCTACACAAGAATATATAGATGTTAGATTATAACTCAACAACAATTATTGGTATATTTGAAGATAGTGTTAATGGTCTTAATTTATTTTAGGAGCGAGTCAATTTTGAGTTTGAGAAGATATTTGAGACGGGTGTTGATGAAATGTCATGGGATGACACGGTAAGACACGGTGTTCAACATATTCACTTGGAAAATAATTGATATCTTCACAAAGGTACACAAAAACCTGCAAATAAGAAATAAATTCGTTTTATTTCATAAAAGTTATAGTATTGTCATATATAATTAACTTATTGAGAACCATGTGTTCTTTAACATACGCCGGTACTTTTTATAATAAGTTCCATCTCCCTAGAAAAATGTAGTTGGGGGTCCACGAGGACCATCCTATATAGTTTAAAAATGCTGATATTGTAAAACTTTAAGTACCCTCTTATTCTAAGACTTTTCAACAAATTCTACGTTATTATTAACCAATTTGTAGGAGAATTTCCGCATGGGAGGTTCGTACCAGTGGCCTAGTGTTGAGGAGACGGTGTTGTACAGACAACAAGTGCGACAAATCATCCTTGATATCATTGACACAACACCCTTAGAGCTCCCAATCACGATGGAAAGCAAATGGGTAATTTGTAGTTGGAATACACTAGATTTTAAGAGTTATGCGTAAACTTTTTATAAAATCACAAAGCAAAACTCCTGTATCTAGATTTTTAAGATAGCTTTCTAGGATAAGAATTTTCATTTTGGTACAGTATCGTTGTTAATAAATGCTAATTTCTTTCTTTTTTTTTTTTTCTTTTTTTTAATTTCTTTCGTTAATACTTTTATCATGATACAATACTTTTTTCAAGTGGGCTGTCTTGATGGGCATGGAACACGAAAGAATTCACGTGGAAACTTCATCCGTTCTCATACGTCAGCTACCAGTTGACATGGTAACCAAACCGGACGGCTGGACATATGCACCCAAACAAGTTTGTTAGTATACTCACCAGTGACCTTTTATAATTGTATAGAAATGGATATTACTTGTATATATTTTGCATTTTCGTTGCCCCTAGCTTCAAAATAATTTCGATATATCGGCGGGAAAAACACCGAGTAGATTTAATTGTCTGCCAAATTGATAAGAACATTTATGACTGAATAGACCAATAGTTTCTTTCTTGGAGTTTCTATAATGTAGTTTGTGCAATTTCAGCAAATACACCAAAAGAGAATAGAATGTTACGTATAGAAGGAAACAATGTACAGTTTGGCAAGCCGAAAGATTTTCCATCTTATGGTTGGGATAACGAGTATGGTGAAGTGTCTTGTTTGTAAGTATTTTATAATATGTCACCAGGAAACAATATATTTCTAAATACCGTCACTATATAATATGTTGGCAAGTCTTTTTACTCAAATACTTATTTTCTAACTTTGATATAAACCTTTTTAACTTAACCATAACTACAGTTACCAAACATAAAAGAAATGTTCTTCTGCTATTGTTCATGTACAAATTTGCTACTGGCTCATTTTAGTTCCTTATATCACTTACTTACTTTTCTTTTGTTTTACTAAATATCAAATTAACAGTCTCACTGACTTTGAATTTCATTTTTGTTTATTTATTTTTTGAAATTTATTATTACTTTAATTGTTCAATTTTCAATTTTGGGTTGCCATTACAAAATATTGGGTAGACAGAAGTACTTGTTTATTTTTGTTTACAATAAAATCTAGTAGTACACAAAATTTGTTTCATTTCGGTTTACCGTGGCAAGCTTTCATTTTATCGCCTATACTTATTAGCCAATGTCAAGGTGACCTTAAATGTGAAAGAAGTTTTCTAATAACCATTAGTACTAATATTTTACCCATAGCTTTCAAACTACGTAGGATACATAGGATAATAACCATTGTTGAGTAGAATATCCCTATTGTTTTGAGGGCCGATGCGTAAAGGTCAAGTGACGGTTATATTGACCATAAAAACCGTTTCTGCTCATTTATTAGAGAACTATAGACCTAAGCCTTTAAGGGCTAAATTCTTATGGAAGAATACCTATATTATCCTTAAATGTGAAAAAGGCTTCTGCTCAATAACTTTGGCACCAATGCATAACTTGAGAACAATTTAACCAATATGCCACAATGCATAACTTGAGAAAAATTTGACCCAATCTCTTTAAACTTCTTAGAATGCTCACCCTATCCTCATCGAGGAAAGGACATCCTTTGTTTTTTCTGCGCCGGTGCATCACAGTGACCCTGAATATAATATTTGTTTCTTTTAATAAATTTGGTATAACAGTACATCGGGGACAAAATGCATTTATAATGTAATAACTGTTCTAACAGTTTGTGTATTTTGTTAATTTTTGCATATAGTGTTCCATCATTTGAAGCCTCGGAGTATCTCGTGACGAATGGCGAATTCCTTGAGTTTGTGAACGATGGTGGATACAATAAAAAAGATTACTGGAGCGAGGAAGGTTGGAAATGGAAAACCTTTAGACAAGCCAAACATCCTATGTTCTGGGTCTGCAACACTGGTAGGCCCTACATATTTGATTACTATCAGGGCTAGAATTTAAAAGATATTTTCTATAAATTACACTTCTGTTCGTTCTTTTAAATAATATCGAATTTTTAAAATGTTCCTTAAACGTTGATCCCGAGAGAATCATGGTATCTTTCTATGTCCCTGACCTCAATGTAAAGCAAGTAGATATGAGCCGTGTCACGACAAAACCAACATAATGGGTTTGCGACCAGCATGGATCAAGACCAACCTACGCATCCGTGCAGTCTGATCAGGATCCATAATGTTCGCTTACCAACCCTTTTACAAGTAGAGAAACTGATAGCGAACAGATCGCAAACCCATTATGTTGGTTTTGTCGTGGCGCGACTCAAATCTTAATTAAGGCGCTTTATTGTATTTAGGCTGTAAGAGTGGTTGCGGGGCAGATCTGGCGACGTACAGTCATTGCAGAGTCCCTGACAATAACATGCAGACAGAAAATGGAAACCAAACATCATACAAGTATGTAATTGGCATTGACAACTACATTTCCATAGAAACGTCATGAACAACACAATATATCTGTCTATATTATATTCTATCTATATTTTTTCAGTATTATATCTGACAAGGCTAAGACACATGTATTAAAATAGATACTGATTAAGATTATATTGATTTATTTTCTTTGATCAGAAATGCTAATTTACTAAAAATAACAACACAAGTTAATAAGATAATAATCGAACTATTTTTTTCTCGTTCAATCCATTATACATATTAAATACAGCATGTAATTATTTTGTATTATTTGTTTGTGTTCAGATACCGCGCTATGTTTGACAACATTGACATGCCACTATCATGGCCGGTAGATGTAAACTATCACGAGGCTAAGGCGTTCTGTCAATGGAAAGGTTCGGAGTTCAGGCTCCTGTCTGAAGCTGAACATAATGCCATTAGAGGACACCAGGTGATGATTTCTCCATTATAATTAAACTTGTATATTAAGACACATTATTTATGGAATTCACAGTTATAGTTAAATATTTTTAAATACGGTCAATTAAGTTTCTTATTATTTTTAACGTCTTTGGTCTAAGTGAAAGCTTTTGTGTCAATTTGATTAGTGCAAGAATACAAATATTTATACTTAACCTTATTTTATACAACATAATTGTTAAATTGAAAGTTGTTGTAATTATACAAATGCATGTTATGTTAAATGGTGTATCACGATTTTAATTTTTCAGGATGGACCTGAGACAGGAACATCGAGTGATTTAATATTTTCTAAAGACCGAATCTGTAATCACAACATGGCCTATGGATCATCATCTGTAAGTTGTTTATGGGTTTTCAAGTATATCCATGCTGCCTGTCGTCACGCGTTATTTCATTTCACATCGGTTTTATTAGCATTATATGAACCATATATAGAACTTTAAAATTTAAAGATAACATTTTACTTTTTTTGTATACATTTGTAGTTAAATATGTACTTATTTTATTGACTCACACAATTTTTTTATATGTTCATAAAAAATGATGCAATTTCTTTGATTTTTTTTGTAACTCAGTTCACATCGGTTTTATTAGCATAATATGATCCATATATAACTTCAGAAGTTTTATTTCTTTAGATAGTTAAAAATGTACTTATTTTATTTACTCACACAATAATTTTGTCTGTTCAGACATGCAATTTCTTTAATTTTCTCGCTGCAGCCGGTGAACATGTACAAACCTAACGATTGTGGATTTTACGATGTTTTTGGTAATGTATGGCAGTGGACAGAGGATCAGTTTAACGGTCTGTGTCACGATACACACTGGCTATATGACGACTTTTCGTCACCATGCTATGACGGAAAACACAATGTCATCCTGGTATGATTCCCAAATTTTATAGTGATCCATGTTACATTTGTATGCAATCAATGTAATGTTTAGGCTTATTACAATATTGCAACGTATGCATCGCACCCAGTTATATTATAGTTAATAGTATCTGCTGGCAAAATGAAACCATTGGTTTTATATTTCTAAATTGAAGACCTAGTATACTTATTGATAATATCTTGCATACATTTATGCGTATGTGTGACTATCCCTATCTCGGCGTTTACTTTAAAAAGTTAATCATAATTCCAAGTTTACTCATATGTTTTTACACAATTTTACATTCGAGTAAACAATGTATTTTCAGGGTGGCTCTTGGATAAGCACGGGAGACGAAGCATCAAGATTTGCTCGCTATGCTTTCCGTCGACATTTTCTACAACACGCCGGATTCCGCCTGGCTCGGACAGTTCATAAAGCTGATAAGATAGAGTTACCCACCAGAGTAGTTGATACAGAAGTCTATATACTAGGCAGTGGTGTTGAAGGTATTGTTCTTCTGCTTAACTCAGCTTGAATGTTTTTTTTTCTTTGGTGGTACATACTTTTATAACTTTAAACTTTCTTAATGAGGCAAATGATGCCGACAGAATTAATGTCATTAAAACAATGTCTGTTATAGATTATAAATCAAAGAACAGAAGGCGCTGAATATGTTTGGGTCTCAGAATGTCAGAAAGGTGAAGGTTGTGAGATTATTAACCAATTTGTTTGTAAAGTGATTTAACTATATTAAATTGGCTAAAAGACTAATTGCCTGAATTGCTAATGAGTTGCCTGAACTGGGATTTGAATTCCGGACCTTGCTTTTAAAGCGAGCGTGTAAACCCCTCGACCACGGGGTGTTTTAAGATAACAGCCTGAAGAATACCATATTGTTCTTAATTAGAGTTTGTAACCCTTATTAATTTCGATATATTTTGTTCACGGTAAACCTGTTGTTTAACACTGAAGTGAATAATCATGGAGCTGAATATAAGCATGTATATCTATAAGAATAACACAATATTAGAAATCTTCGACCAATCGGGAACTATTTTTTGTTACGAAAATTAATGCGCCTGTCATTTAACAATCTTTACGCAGTGATCTCCCCTTAAGTTTTCGGTGTAAATGTACATATGAAGGGAAGTAACCGCTTCGAGATTTTGGACTACTTTCGGCATTTGCAAATAAGAATATCAGGGTCTGACATTTCGCTACCATTATTTGTTTGGTCTGACGACCCAAACAAATAAAAATATCTACGTATTATGATTTCACGTGTGTCTTCTTTCTTGCTTAGCAAATGTACACAGAATTAGTATGAGTCAGTATTAATCAGTGATGTTTGTTTACAGAGAGTAACTTGGATCTGGACAAAGACAAAATCAAACCAATTATAGTACCGTCGACAAACATACATTATCATTTTGAATCGGCCAACCAATTAAAAGGGATCCTCGAGCAGGAATTTGGATTCCGAAAATCGTTTCCTGTTGTCATGGCGGCGCTTTGTAAAGAACTTGCAGAAAATAATCGCCTTGATAAGAACTCAGCGTTGTGGATAGGTGCTGGATCGGGCCGAGGACCTCTACTTCTTACTGATACATTTGATGAGGTTTGGGCCTATGATAAGAATTTCAAATTTGTTTATGTCTTATAAAAAAGGTCGAAGTCTATCAACGCTTTATCTACTAGATAGACTTCTGTTTATTATATATGTTCATCAGGTATATTACACTAACGTCCGTTTAGTTCTAGCTTCATTATGCTCTATATTGATTTTATTTGTATAATAATCTATTGTTGAAGGAGAAACATCAAAATTTTGAACTATTTACTAGTATCAGCCAATTCGTTTGAAATTGTTTTAAAAGTCACTACAACAATACATAGAAAATAAAAGTTAAATGAGACAACAGATACTTGCAGATGTACAAATATCTTGTCTCTCTATTTAAGGTTCTGGCTACAGACGTTGTTGCCAGATTTTTGGACACAGCTATGGATATACAACAAGGGAAGGAAGTGAGCATGACAACTGACGAGGGTCGTTTAGTAGTTGCTTCCCTTGACAGTCATTCTAAACCTGATAATGTTATGTTTAAACAGGTAACTCAAATGAATCTTATAAATGTATTTTGAAACTAGTATGCAACAATTTAAATATTTTCCAAAGAATTTGATCACAAGTTTTAAATAAGTTGTTCAGGCAGGGTATTTGAGTATTCCGACTTTAAGGTGTGTAGAGCACAGGCACGAGTATCAACCTGGGAAGAAACAATATGACCAGATTGATAAAATCTTAAATGTGCCCCCCCCCCCCCCCCCTCCGTCAAAAATGTGAAATATGAACCCATTATACTATTAATTAACTAGAAGTATATTTTTAAGGGGGCTCATTTTGTGTTATTGACACATTTAAGTTGGACACACAGGTTTTTTTTATCAATCTGGCCATATTTTATTCCCAGATCTGATACTCGTGCCTGTGATGGGGAGAGGGAGGGACATGCGTTTGCTCTTGATTGGCAACGGTCGTCTTGGCATGTATTTAATACAATAAATTTAATCAATGGATTTTTAGAGATTTGAGATGGCAAAGTGTAAGGAAACCAAGCCACTCATAGAACAAGTAGACACTTTTTGATGGTGCCTGTCTGTAATAAACTTTCTAAATTAATACCTGTCCCATGCACGTATTACTACTTTTTGTAAAGCTATAAATTTGCTGAGAAATGAATGTCTTTTAAATTGACGTAGGGCAGTAACATAAACGTTTTATTTTATTTCAGTTCACATGGATTCCGAATGAAGTTGGAATTAAATCATTTGACATGACTGTTGTAACTTTCTTAGAAAGAACACAACAACCAAAAGGTGGGCATATATATTATAATGTTATACACTTTTTCTGTGATTGATTAAGGAGAATCCACTTATGAATAAATTATCCGGCAGTCGAGATATACAAACGATTTTGTTTTGATATTACACTCTTAAAGTAAAAAAAAAGAAACAGTTTATAACTTCCCTTCCTCGTCATTGTTGTAACTATTTTACAGTATGCTTTAATCTTACGTGTACTTTCATTTCAGCTTGGCTTCTGAGGTTGTCAGAAATTACAAGAAACAATGGGTTGGTGGTCATAGGTTCACCTTCAGGACAATGGGACAGAGAAAGGCTTGAGCCTACTCTAGCTGACAAAGGGTGAGTGTAGAGGTGTACATTTTACTTTTAATAAAAACGGGTAGATTTATACCAATATGATTGTCCATATTTAACATAAATCTCAAATAAATTTACCGGAAGTGGAGACCTTTTACTGATTGTAATCATTTTGACTATTATTATTTTCTGTAACAGAAGTAATTATTTAAATTGCTGATTGGTTTGTTTTTTCAGACTGTCATGTGTGATATCTAAACATTTACAGTACGAGGACAAAACCGGAACCGGAAACGCTAGTGTTACAGTTTGGAAGCACGTGTAAACGTTCCAGTTTCTTCTGTCTTCATTATGACTTACATAAAGCTTTCCTAGATAATGCTAATGCGAGCATACCACGGAGCCTTAATGGTTACGGTGTCAAACATTATTTTCTTCATACTCAATGTACATTTTAGTTATTCTACGGAAATCGTGTAATTCAAAAATGTATTAATCATAACACTTTAAATAGTTGATCTGAAAGTATACTGTATATAGATGTCATGTCATCATCGTCCATGGATTTATTTGTTGCCATTAATATTGTGATCTGATCATTATCAATTATATAACTTTAAACATATCATGTTTAATTATATTCACCTTTCACAGAACTGTTAGTAGTTGCGAACTGTGTTCTGTTTTGTGTGTGTTTTTTTTTTATTCTTTACTTCAGAATTGTTAAATTGCTTTGTTGTTAATATTAAATGTTTATATGATAGCATACACAGCATACAATATGTTTTTGAAATGTGAAAACATAATGATTTACCATGTATTGTGATCTGCAACATGTAATAAATAATGAAATAATAATGCTTACTAAAAATGACTGTCTCTATAGTTTTAATATGAATATAGCAAAGCCTCTAAGAGAACTCTATGACAAAATTTACTGGAACATTTACACTATAGTAAAGCAGTTATCAATCAAATTCTGTAAACCTATTAATTGGAGCAGGAACTGTTATTCTTTTGATAACGTTACCTGTTACCTTTCTTCTAAATACTGTTACAGAGTTTATGGTAAATATGTCGCGGAGTTCCTCTTGTAATATATTATGTCATGTAAGTTAAAACCTTATTTTATATGGAAGCTTTACATGGGATGGAGAATGAAATCGGTACATTTATTGTATTATAACAGTATTTTTATGTCTGAAAATAAGAGAACTCTAAGGTCACAAAGAAAGAAAAAGGATTTGAAATATTAAATATTTCAATATCAAATATTTCAATGTTTTCCGCTTGATGAAGTGAGCACCACCATTTTGTAACGAATTAAGCAGTTTGTTCAACATCAACACACAACGTCAGTACAACTTAACAACAAAACAAAACATTTTAAATGTAAAGCTCTCTAATATATACATGTATAATCTATTAGATGGCTAGTGAAAGAAGCTAAAGTATAGAAAAATACGTTTAAATACATGTAACTTAAAGAATTCTGGATAACTTTTCTATCCAGCATAAAAGGAATGATAGTGAAATCCCTGACGAGAGCGTGTGTGAGTGAAACAAAGGCTTGTAAAATAGTCAGTATCAAGACATGTAAAGATTGTGATTGTGACGTGTAAATTGAAATAATCATCAAATGTAAAACGGAAGTGGTTTTTACTAGTAAATCACACCATACGTGTAACAATTGGGAAACAAGACAACAGTTGAAAAACGACGACGACAGTTACACTTTAAACATGCATCACGAGAGTCGATGTTTATATATATTGTTGTCTTTTGTGCGTCTTTTTCTTCTTCTTTCTTTTTGGGAGGGGGGCGACAAAATTACCCTTTTATATCGTTGTTTTCTCTTACATGGGCCCAAGAATACCGATCAAAATCAATGCACCATTAGGCACCATCAAATAAATTCAAATCACAAGTTGTTGAAAAACGTATTGAAAATTGTAAATATAAAATTTAACATTTCCCAAAATTACTGTTTTAATTAAAGTTGTTCTTGCCTCGTTAAGCCAAAACATAAACTATCCGCAGTAATTCATTCAGCTGGTAAGTGAAGTAGTATAGCGTCAATGTGAGGGGATGGCTAGAATGTTGAACTGTGTAGCTTTGCATGACTTTTTGACAGCGGACAAGAGCTAGAAAGTGTTAATGAATAATCTTGATAAATCTCTAAAGGGTGCATTATGTATACCATTGCTCATTAAAATTGACACAATGTTTGAAACATATTGCGTTCCAACTGCCCTATCAAACTGACCTGATCCAACGAAGAAAGTCCTTAGAATTGATTTAGTCGGGGTAGTCTTTCTTTTCAATGTATGACGAACGATTAGAAATTTCAACAAATGGAGCGCCAAGATGTCCTAATTCTCACAATTAATAACGCCTTCTCATGGTAATGTAGCTTTGCATTTATTTTTCACTCTTTTTTCCGAAACTCCAAAGTACTAAATTGTCTACTCAATGTTATTGTTATATTTTATGTTATAACTTACAAGTTTTAAAGTTATACAATACATCGTTAAGGTATAATTTTCGGTTATTTAAAAAAAAATGTTGACCAATCGCGCTGGAGTTCCGACAAAAGTCTTTCTCGCTTAACTTTTGTTTCATGATTTTTGTGGGTTTCTTTTACATTTGACTCAAAGATGAGATTTGACTATATATCCATCTTTTTGAGTGCCTGTACACGTGTACGTCTTTATGTCCAACTGAGCGCAAGATAAGTCACTTGTTGGGCAAAGAGTACAGCTCTAACTTCTAGTCAGTCTCCACAGCCTTTCAGTAATTGTTTATATAAATGCATATGTAAATGTTTGTTCATAGGCCTTGAGGAAGATAGGCTTTATCCTCAATTAATGAAGTACATGTGAGCCGCGTCACGAGAAAACCAACGTAATGCGTTTGCGACCAGCATGGATCCAGACCAGCCTGCGCATTCGCGCAGTCTGATCAGGATCCATGCTGTTCGCTTACAAACCCTTTAACAAATAGAGAAACTGATAGCGAACAGCATGGATCCTGATCAGACTGCGCGGATGCGCAGGCTGGTCTGGATCCATGCTGGTCGCAAACCCACTATGCTGGTTTTGTCGTGACGCGGCTCATATATCTATTCATTTTCAGTGTTGTACAAATACGTTGACTGATTTACAACTCCGTCTGACAACCCAATTGTCCAGGAGAATGAAAGCTGTCAACCAATACTTAAAGATCATGTAATACAATTTTTTATGGTTTTATATCATAAATATGATGCTGAAATTAAGATTTATCAATTATTTTAGTTTCAAAAATAAGTTTATAAAGATATTAACAAATATAACATTTCATGTAAATAAAGGGAGGTAATAAACAAATTATTTTCTATAAAGTCTAAGTCAAATTTTTCAATAAGAAATGAATGCATATATTTTAATGATTACATATAATATGTACAAATATTTGCAGTACATATTTTTCATATTCTTCGATGTTTCAAAATATAATAAGCATAATTATATACATATATATAATTTCACTTAAGTGTGGTATACCACCTCAATTACAACAATATAAGCACTTAAAATATTCTCGACTCATCACAACAAAGACCCCGGGCGATAAGTATTAGGTAGAGAAAGATAATCCTTTTTGAGAACAACACAAACATTGGCATCTATTCTTGTTAAATGTAGGGAATTGAAAACTAGTAAATGGAATGAATCAATGGGCTTTAAGCTCTGTTGTATTTTCTGACCTTTGCAATCTAAATCGTACTGTATACATTATTTATTTTCCTGTATAAGTTTATTTTTATATACTATAATTCATCTTACATGGCACCGAGATGCAGCGACTGCGTCTAGATTATTTACTATAACAGTTTGATACATACGGAATTTTGCATGACTAGAGTTGCATAAAAAAATCATTTATGTTCATTTTTTATGACAGCCACACTTTATCCTTGCATATCGTGGCTACTTCCTAAAGAAAAAACACTTAAAAAAAATAGTTGCCTCGACTGGGACTTGACCTCTCACACCATAACCGAGCACGTTACCCGTGCACCACGGGGAAGTTATACGAAGAAAGCCTGAATTAAATCAAATAATTCTAAATTTGGAATTTCCATTTCGGGTTGGTAATACTTATTAATTTCGAGGTATTTTGTTCACGATCAACCTGTTGTTTAACACTGATGAAAATCTCGCCAAAACAGTCCATTTTGAGTTATCACAAGAACTCAAACACATTTGAAAAGTCGGGTATAAATTTGTTAGCCGGGGCTTTATCTTTTGCATTTTTGCATTATAATTAGGCAAGGATGAAGACTTGAAATTAACAGGTCAATACTTTCTCGAATTGGCAAATAATTTGGAAATTTTACTCAAAACTACGATGAAAAATGGACTATGAATTAGTTTTTGACACATAATACAATATGTAAGGCAAACTTAATCATTAAAGTTTAATTTAGCACCTAAAACTCACTTTTTAAAGATGAAAATTACCATTTTTGACGAGTGTTTTTACAGTATAAACAATAGTTTTCCAACGAACTCCGTGACAGTTATCACAAGAACTCCTTGACAAGTTATCATGAGAACTCCATCCCTCGTGTAACACTTCCTCCCTCGTGGGTAATAGACATCGCTAAATTGATTAAAATGATATTCATCTGCGTAATTAGTGATTGTGCATTTATTGACAATTCTATAAGCCAACGCTACTTTTAAACTTTGAATGCGTTGTAATTTGTTGGATACTTGTAACAAAATAAAATATTTCTTTTACATCGCTAGTTTTAAGCTGTTTTGAGAACTACTTGTTCTTAGGTTTGTCGTGAAATTCTGTGCCAGATATTGAATGTCAGCAATGTATTTCCTGATCTGCGATCAGAAAATACAAAAAGTAGTACCTCAAATATCACCTTACTGACTTAGTCAGGACCTAATGCGTTTTTTATTTTGTGTTCAGTGTCAGCAGAGTGAATATTCTCATTAATTATGGAGACAGTTTGCTACTAGTAACATGCTAAAGATTTTCGTTGAGGTCTCTATCAGAATTATCTGGCAAAGACTTAATACAAAATAATATAAAAAAATCTGGAAAAGGGGAGATATTTCGGAATACAGAAAAAGTCAACATTTAATAAAAAAAAAGCGACTCGTCCATGCATTAGAAATAATATAAAAGTGCAACATCTCTCACGCCTCCTTGTTCTAGTCAGTATTACTGACGCTGTTTCTGAGAGAAATATATTTCCCTTCGTCATACAGTCACACAAGTCGTTTGAATGATTTGGCATGTGATTTCATAAAAGAAAATAAATGGAGGAGATAGGGCAGTGAAAATTCTAGATTGATCTATGATCGTTTGCACAATTTCTGACGACTAGAAATTTTAAATACAGAAAATATTTAAAAATGATTATGAATTATTTTGTGTGTCTGTCTTACATGCATTTAAAATAACGTAATTTCTATTTCTCTCAATACATGTTTACAAGCATGCACATATAAGGAATTTTTACTATAAATGTTATAAACACACGAGGCTTACAAAAATAAAATGGTGACATTTTGAAAATCATCTACATGATACTGCTAAACAATTAATTCTGATTATGATTAGCTGGCGCGTTTTTAGGGAACTGTTAATAAAATATATGCAAATTTAATTTTATAAAAGAATAAAAGTTGTACAAGATTATTAATTTAAAAGGCATAGTGTGCAAATTAGAATTTGCAGAATGGGCCAAACCTCTCTATAAAGATGTTATTTAAAACTGAGGCTGGACTGAACGGTTAGCGGAAAGCTATTCCAAAGACGTATGCTCATGGGAAAAAAGAATTTTGATGGTA